CGGTTCCTTCCCTTGAGATCGTACCTAGTTGCTATCTTGAGAAGAGTGGTTATCTCGCTGTTGCCGAGATAATTGCTTCGGTTTCTTGATTCCTTCGCGAATCAACGAAACTCCGGATTGATCTGATCGCTTGGTAGTCCACGGATATTAACGTCCCCGGCACAGACAAAGATCCAACGCAAACAACGGGTGATAAACGTCCGTTGTGTTTGTTTTGACGAGAGTTGTAATTTTTCGTTTTTATTGTGTAAGAGTCTTATAAAAAGATTATCTTTTTATTTTCATTGTAATGATTGAAATTGTAATGAATACCTCAATGGAGATGTCAACTTTCACACCAGACAAGTATAATTAGGCACCACTAAATACACATGACCAGTAGTCCCCTGTATTTTAAAACTTCATTTTTGTAAAATCGACTTCTTTTTGACCAATCGGCCAAAAAAAGATAGATTTACTAATTATATAAAAAAAGATTGATTTTGCTAATAAAGTTTCAAAAATGATATTTTTAAAAAATTTCTCCTATTATTTGTAAGGGTAGCACGGATAAAGGCTTGATTTTTCTTCTTGTATTTGTGGAAGATCTGATTGTGAGAAATGTGAAACTTGTTTATGTCAAATGGAGCAAGACCCCAACTTTTTCCATAGGAAAATTGTTGACATCAACTGGTCAAAACTGTCTTATCTAACACATTACACATGTGGCACAATTAGAAAATAATAATAATAAAACGAGTCAAAACATTTTTTTAAGATGAAAATCAGTCAAACATTACATACTACAATAAGGTGGCTTTTAATTGCGATGATGACCATAAACTTAATAACAACCAAATCCAAATATATGAACGTCTAGAACAAGACTATTTACACCGTTCATAGCTTAAATTGAGAGGAGAAAATTTATGCGTGGAGCTTTTGATGGAACAACTATTACCTTAGTACGCATCTCAATTTATTAAAAATAAATTTTTTGATAATCCATTCCAAAATCAGACCCAATACCGCGAGAGCCATATAAGTATCTCCCGACTGTTCAGGCCCTCCATTATGGATTAGAAGCGTTATAATAACCTAATGACTCCATGAAAAATATGAGATTAGACCCTATACTTTTTACGTTTCATGGAGTAATATTTTTCGTTCTGTTTGTTTTATTGAATCTTTATTAGCAAAACCGACTTTTTGTAGATTTAATTAGCAAAATCGACCTCTTTGATTGATTTGTAAAATATGGTTTTTAAAATATACGTGACTAGTAGACCCGTGTAATTAGTGTTGACTAATCACATGCTAATTAAACATTAAAAATATACAAGACTAATTAAAACTTTATTAAAGTGTTGTAGGCATCAAAAATTGCCCACGGATTCCCGCACGCGGCTTGAGACAGAGAGAAGACAATGAACGTCACTATCCGGGTCACAGAAGCTTAATTGATGTCGATAAACGCATGAAGTAAGTCGACGAACTATGTGAAGCAACAGAACTGCAGAATAACGAAGATACGAACTGATCGGGAGCTACGCTTTCGCTTACGAAAGACGAAGCGCCCATCGTGTCCCATCTACTCTACATGTGATTCAACCATGGGAGCTTGTAGATCTTCTCATCGATTTCCCTTCACACTTTGAATCGCGCAATTCCGAGTTCGGACCACGAAGATACGACGAAAACGGACGGGACGCACAAAACAATGCCCCAGGCCTTAGCGGAGACACTCCAAGTGTCTTGGCATTGGTAGAGACTGTCTCGCTTTGAATATGAAGAAGCTCAAAAGATAAAAGTTATAGATTTCTCCTCCAGCTTTCCAACGCATCTTGGATCAACTCATTCCGAGATCGGATGAGAGATTTAGAGACAAAACAGCAGAGAGACAATTACACTGTCTCGGCCAAGGCCGAGACAGTTGGACTGTCTCAGGCTTTATAGAGCAGTTTTGACCATGATTCACTTCAAATATGAAGAATCTTAAAAGACAAAAGTTGTAGATCTCCTCGATAGATTTCTAACTCATCTTGGATCAACTCATTCCGAGATTAGATGAGAGAGTTAGAAGCAAAACAGAGGAGAGACACTTGCACTATCTCGGCCAAGGCCGAGACAGTTGGACTATCTCGGGTTTTATAGAGCTGTTTTAATCATGATTCGCTTCAAATATGAAGAATCTCAAAATATAAAAGTTGTAGATCTCCTTGTTAGCTTTCTAACGCATATTGTATCAACTCATTTCGAGATCGTATGAGAGAGATAAAGCCAAAATACCAAAGATAGTACAAACTACCTCAGAATTCCGAGATAGTGTTGGTATCTTAGAGAAGAATGGAGATTTTGGCCATGATTCAATTTGAATATGAAAAATCTCAAAAGATAAAACTTGTAGATCTCTTCGTAAGCTTTCCAATGCATCTTTAATCATTTTATTTGGAGGTCATATGAGAGAGTTAGAGGCAAAACAAGCGGAGACACTCTGAGTGTCTCGGCCAAGGCCCAGACACCTTGACGGAGACACTCTGAGTGTCTCGGCCATGGCCGAGACACCGCGGGTGTCCCAGACCCCAAAAAGCTGTTTTACGTAGTTTTGAGTCGTTTTTCGACTGTTAACCACGTGTATTTGTTTTAACTGATCTAATATCATCCAAGAACGTGATAAAGTGGTTACAACTGAGGATAAGAGTGAATCGATCGTTCTTATCCGAAAACGGAGGTCCCAAAGCCTATAAATACAGCCCTAGGGCCTTCATTTACAGATCTGGAATTCTCAAGCGTCGGCGAAGCCCTGCTGAATTGAAGACTGAAGGAGCACGAATTTTAGAGAGGAGGAGATTGGATCGAGTTCTTTGACATAAGGAAGAGGAGTTCGTCAGATCCATAGCCCGGTTCCTTCCCTTGAGATCGTACCTAGTTGCTATCTTGAGAAGAGTGGTTATCTCGCTGTTGCCGAGATAATTGCTTCGGTTTCTTGATTCCTTCGCGAATCAACGAAACTCCGGATTGATCTGATCGCTTGGTAGTCCACGGATATTAACGTCCCCGGCACAGACAAAGATCCAACGCAAACAACGGGTGATAAACGTCCGTTGTGTTTGTTTTGACGAGAGTTGTAATTTTTCGTTTTTATTGTGTAAGAGTCTTATAAAAAGATTATCTTTTTATTTTCATTGTAATGATTGAAATTGTAATGAATACCTCAATGGAGATGTCAACTTTCACACCAGACAAGTATAATTAGGCACCACTAAATACACATGACCAGTAGTCCCCTGTATTTTAAAACTTCATTTTTGTAAAATCGACTTCTTTTTGACCAATCGGCCAAAAAAAGATAGATTTACTAATTATATAAAAAAAGATTGATTTTGCTAATAAAGTTTCAAAAATGATATTTTTAAAAAATTTCTCCTATTATTTGTAAGGGTAGCACGGATAAAGGCTTGATTTTTCTTCTTGTATTTGTGGAAGATCTGATTGTGAGAAATGTGAAACTTGTTTATGTCAAATGGAGCAAGACCCCAACTTTTTCCATAGGAAAATTGTTGACATCAACTGGTCAAAACTGTCTTATCTAACACATTACACATGTGGCACAATTAGAAAATAATAATAATAAAACGAGTCAAAACATTTTTTTAAGATGAAAATCAGTCAAACATTACATACTACAATAAGGTGGCTTTTAATTGCGATGATGACCATAAACTTAATAACAACCAAATCCAAATATATGAACGTCTAGAACAAGACTATTTACACCGTTCATAGCTTAAATTGAGAGGAGAAAATTTATGCGTGGAGCTTTTGATGGAACAACTATTACCTTAGTACGCATCTCAATTTATTAAAAATAAATTTTTTGATAATCCATTCCAAAATCAGACCCAATACCGCGAGAGCCATATAAGTATCTCCCGACTGTTCAGGCCCTCCATTATGGATTAGAAGCGTTATAATAACCTAATGACTCCATGAAAAATATGAGATTAGACCCTATACTTTTTACGTTTCATGGAGTAATATTTTTCGTTTGTTTGTTTGCTAAAAACCCCCCCCCCCCCCCCCGCCACGTCAGATTTCAAGAAATCCCCCCTGCCACGTAGGATTTTGGTTTTAACCGATTTTCAAATCACATGTTTGTTTCGTTTTGTGATTTAAAAAAATGGGGGTGCCACGTAGGATGTCACGTCAGATTTTTGAGAAAAGTGTTTTTACACCGAAAACCTCTGAAAACACTTGGAAAATATCACTTCAATGAATTTTTAATTACTAAAAATACTGTTGAAACAGTGACCGTGAATAAAATAGATTATTTAATTACTGAAAACGCTGTTACTATTGCAGCTGATTTCCATTTTCTTTTTTTTATGTTCAAAAATACACAAGAAATGAAAATCGAAACACTGTTACTATTGCGGCTGTATTTGTTTCTTATGTGACGTGGCTGTGACGTGACGATGATTTCATTGCGAAACAAACGAAAAAAAGAAATACGGGAAATATCTTGAAATGAGTTAAAACGTGAGTTTTACATTTTCGATTTTTTCGGAAAACAACCGAACAGCCCCTCATCAATTGGAAAAAGTGATATTCTTGAAAGTGTCTGCTGTTGATTCCAGCGCAGCCAACCCTAGTCGCACATTTCGGCACGACTTTCCACGTTGCTTGCCCAATACCCGCACCAGCAAACGCTGTCAAATTTCGACCGTCCAATCATTAAAATCTTCATAAACCAACGGCTGAGATTACATCACGTGGTCCCTCCGAAGAAAACGAACCGAGTTCGCCACCCCGAAGGAAAGGAAACAGATAAATTATTATTATTATTATCGCCTCCGTCACTTCCAAAAACCGAACGAAATATCATCCGCATAAAGTTTCTATAGGAAGCAAAGCATCCAAAACGTCGATCAAGCAAATCCAATTGTTGATATTAGCATTCGCATAATTATTTTATGCGGACCACAGCACATAAATTTTGACGACGGGGGTTCGCGCAATGGAAATAAAAGGCCCTAAAATTCCCCTCTGGCCTCCGCCTCTCTTGTTCCCTCGTCTTCAGCCTCCGCTCTCTCCGCGTCGAGATCTCGAGGCCGAGAGAAGAGCGCCTCTCAAGGGTAAGAACTTTCGATGTTTTCGTTTTCCATTCTCTCGCTGGATCTTCGGTCCGATCGCTTAGATTCCCGGTTTTCTGCGTTTTTTCCCGACGATTTTGACCATTTTATGGTCAGATCTGAAGTAGACGGATCAGATCTGTGTGCTTGTTTAGAGATTTTGTAGATCTGTTAGTTTCAGTTGTAGTTCTTCGATCGATTTACAAACTACTGCTTAAAATGTTGCTGAATGTTTAATAGTGATTTCGGCGTCAAAAGCTATTGATCGTGATTAGATTAGTGTTGATGCGATAGGTACGGATCGTTGACGGTTCTGTTCGTTCTAAAGTTTATATCTGTGCTTTGAGATGGCTAATAAACGTAGATCTGTTGTTTAATTGTTTACTTTTATTACTAAAGTTGTTAGATACCTCACCCTCAGTAGTAGTTTTAATGAATTGATGCACAAATGAAGTTCTGTGCTCAAGAAATAATCAATAGTTTGTCTATGCACTTATTAACTATGGCGCTCATAAAAAAAATTACATTTTAAAATAAAAATTGATTTTTTATTGGATAGCATGTATGATATTAATAGTTAACTTGCACGTCTCCTACATCCTAAAAATATCATTGGAGCTCTCTGTTTATCTTTATGCACATAAATTCATGTATAATTATTTGCAGGCAAATTTTGGTACTAAATTTGGTAGTGTCACGTGTTAAATCTGTCTTTTATTGAAAATAACTTATTATAATTTGATTTGGAAAATTTGTAAGCAACATGTTTTATCTGCTCTGTTGTTAATCGTAAATATTGCTACTCACTTTTACGATATTTATTATCTATGACGATTTCAAAATACATTTGTGTAGTTTTAGTTCGGCAATGCAAATAATCATTTTCATGCTATTATCAACTACGGTGATGTAAAGTATTGAAGTATTTCTTCATTGCCTTCTTTGTGACTGGATTTAGTGATATTTCCCACTATGTCAGTATCATATTGTTTGATCCAAAGTTGCAAAATATTTCCTAATGTTGTTGCATTGGAAGAGACATGCCCGCCGCGTGGAATTTATTTAAAGGTTATAAAATGAACTGAGGCAAGTTCTTGGTTGAAGTGGGTAGTCTCTAATTCTATCTGTAGGAGTTTAGGGGTAAAGAATTGTATCTTCTGAGATGTTCTACGTGTAGCACAATTTTGTGCCTGAAGAAAATTGCTGGTTTTTGTTGGTTTTTTTACTTCAATACTGGATGCTATCGGTTTCCGTGCTACCTTTGTTACTTCAATTAGCTTGTGTGAGGAAATAAGATAGGCATCCGGCTTTCATCCGGCTAATCTGATCCGTTAATTGTCACTAATAGATAGTTCTTTTGAGGGGGAATTTGTTTTGTTCGATCACCTGCACATAAAGGCCCTTCCAATATGTCGTCTTGGTGCTATAGTCTGTTATTTTTCAGCATTGTCTAGTCCATATAGGCTTGATTTTTTATATAGTAGTTGATAGTAGTTGATTTAGAAACATTGTGATCATGTCATAGTTGATTATCTAGCTTACGTTGTTTCGATGATTGATTCATTGATTTGCTGTACTCGATATCTGGTAGAGTGATTAAACTGATCGTGTTGCTCTTTTGATATGGGAAGGGATGACTTAATTTCCAATTGTATCCTATCATTGCCTGTGTGTTTGCTTTTATATTGGTTTGTCCGTTAAAAATATGTGCAGTAATCTAGTCAATGGTTTCAGGTTATTGTGCAGGCTGACTAATGGCCGATCAAGTTAACCACCCGACTGTTTTCCAAAAGATGTCTGGCCAGTTTCATTTAAGTTCTAATTTTCCCCAAGACCTTTGCCGCCAGAATGTCTACAGGCCTTCTGCTTATGAGAGGCGCTTTTCAACTAGCAGCTATGTCAATGGTGGGCTGCAGATGCCTTTGACCCGTGGCTCTGACCTCTCTATGGTGACCATGGCATCCCCAGTGTATGCTCATGCACCTGTAGAAAAGAATTTCATGGTCGATTTCCTTATGGGTGGAGTTTCTGCTGCAGTCTCCAAAACTGCTGCCGCTCCTATCGAGCGTGTGAAGCTTCTGATCCAGAATCAAGATGAGATGATCAAGTCTGGTCGTCTATCTGAACCCTATAAGGGAATTGGCGAATGTTTTAAGAGAACCATTAAGGAGGAAGGATTTGGCTCTTTGTGGAGAGGGAATACTGCAAATGTTATTCGTTATTTCCCAACCCAGGTGAATTTAACTGACAGAATTATGTGTAGTTTCTTGCTATGTTATTACCTTAGGGGGTGTTTGGTTCACCTATTTTATGGAAAAGTTTTGAGAAAACACGTGACAATGGCATTATCGTAAATAATAGATTTCTGTACATTTTCATATACTGTGTTTGGTTCAACATTAAATTTACAGAAAAGTTTTCTTAGAAGTACAGAATCTGTACAATATTACATAAATTGTTTTCCACTAAAAATGGGCGGAAAACACCAGGAAATCTGACGCATATGTTAAAAAATTAATTAAGTACACCAGTACCGTTCCCATGTGATTTCTCATGGGCATTGTTAGTAAGCTATTTTCTATAAAGTGATATCCAACCAAACAAGAGAAAGAAAACAATATATTTTCTATGAAGTTAGGAACTTTTTCATGCTTTGAACCAAACAAAGAAATAGCAAAAAACAAGAAATATGGTACTTTTTGAGTTCTATAAAAATTTCCTACAAATTTTATTTTATAGAAATACAATGAAATCTATATTTTGGGTGTTTTCCTTTTCCTATAATTTATAGAAATTGAACCAAACACCCCCTTAGTATCTATAGGTTATTTGCTTTCTTAATTTTTTTAAACATTGGATGCTAATGTTTCACTTTAATTAGTCTTGGTAATGTTTCTATTTATTCTTTTTATGTATACAAGTTCTTTTCATTGTTCTTACTTCTTTTAATTGTTTAAGTAGTATTCTTCAGGCCTTTGTCTTATTATATTTCTATAAATTTTGTTGGTGCAGATACTCTTTATCATCTTCGCATCTCTTTGGGGTTCAAATATATTTATACTGTCATTCCAGTTGTTGGCTTTTTATTTATAATATTTTTTATTTATAATGTGTAATTTCCCCAAACTGCACTATCAATTTTTGTTTTCACTGAGTAATGGACATGGAAAATATCCCTACACAATTTTCCTTAGCCAATTGCCAACTTGTTCATTTTACAGTTATCGGAACCCTGTTTGGTCCATTCTGTTTGTAATTTTGAATATTAACCTCATAATTCCAAAATAGTTTTAACTAATAAAATCTGTAGTCACCATTTTGTAACCACAACCTTGTTTTTTTAATCCTTTTTGAATTTTAATTTACTTTCCATTTTGCCTACTGTGAATGATGAATAGAGTTTGTGTTGTATAATCTTTGTTATTATCTGATAAGTTTATTATCTGATAAGTTTATATGTTTTAATTGACCTGTACTAATTGCCTTGCCCTTTGTGGAGATGTTGCATTTCAGTTGTACTAACTGCTGTTGGCTGTTTTTCTTGTTAGGCTTTGAACTTTGCATTCAAGGATTACTTCAAGAGGTTATTCAACTTCAAGAAAGACAGGGATGGCTACTGGAAGTGGTTTGCCGGAAATCTTGCATCTGGTGGTGCTGCTGGTGCCTCTTCTCTACTGTTTGTTTACTCCCTGGATTATGCCCGTACCCGTTTGGCCAATGATGCAAAAGCTGCAAAGAAGGGAGGAGAGAGGCAGTTTAATGGTCTTGTTGATGTGTACAAGAAGACATTGAAGACTGATGGAGTTGCTGGGCTCTACCGTGGGTTTAACATTTCATGCGTTGGAATTATTGTCTACCGTGGGCTTTATTTTGGATTGTACGATTCTTTGAAGCCTGTTGTTCTAACTGGAAAGTTGCAGGTATGTGTTTCCTTTTCAAATAATGTGTCTTGAATGTAGTCTCTATTTATATTTGTTTAGTTACTTAGTTTTAGTACATGCATTTGTGAATCTGTAAAAAGCATTGCACCTTTTCATTTAATTTAAAATTTGTACAAGATATTGGATGGCCTAAACTCTGGGTTCTAGCCATGTGATATACAAGATAAACTGAGTCTTGCACGTTGTGTAATTAGGATATCTAAAAGTTATTGTCATTTTTTCCTGTCTAGCTGTAATCTAGTCCCTTGGAAGTCGAGATTTTGGGTGATTTGGGATTTGTTTCATTACCTGGATGATGGGAACAGTTTTCAAACGAAATTCTTTTTAACTTTTCTTGTTTAAATGCATTGGGAATGTTGAAGTACTATTTCCAACCCTACCTACCACGTGGCATGCATTTTTTTACTCTGAATCCAACTGTTAGTATTTCTACTTGTTTCAATAAACTCATAGAATGGTGTATCATGCTTCCAATATAAAGATACAAGAAATACAGTTCTGCATATATTTAACTGAAGTTACATTGTACTCTTAAAGTTATGTATCGTCAAAGCATGTAGGTGAGTGCGCAACATGCTTATGTTATACCTATGCCCAGCAACTGGTTTTCTGTGATTCCTCATTGTCTTTCATCTGTTTGATTTCTACTTGGTTCTATTTTGGATGAGTGTTTAGAAACTTGAGCACTACTTTTCATAGTAGCAGCCTGCACAAAATTGCAATTAATTTTAACCTTCATTATCCATGCACTAATTTTACACTACCAAAAATTTTACACTACCATAAATTTTTTGGGGGGGGTTGGGGGTGGGGGTGTGGTGGTGTTTGCAAAACACTATCATAAATTTTTTTTAAACTAGAGTAAGACTACCACGAAGTTTCAAAACTGCAAAAAATTGTCATGAACTATTGGAAATTATTGCTAACAGGAAATTTGTTTGGATAAAAGTTTTAAACTACTAATGAAGATACGTAGAGCGTTGAAGGCAAAATTGTTCAACGCATTTTATCTAGTGAAATAGTTCTTGATAGTTTTCTCTAAAACAAGGTTTTGTGGTATGTCTGTAAATTTACTTTAATTTTATATGCACTAAAACATTTCCTTCATTTCCAATGATTACAGGACAACTTCTTCGCTAGCTTTGCCTTAGGTTGGGTGATTACCAATGGAGCAGGGCTCGCATCCTATCCCATCGACACAGTTCGAAGAAGAATGATGATGACCTCCGGAGAGGCAGTCAAGTACAAGAGCTCTCTTGACGCCTTCCAGCAAATCTTGAAGAACGAGGGGGCAAAATCCCTCTTCAAGGGTGCAGGTGCCAATATTCTTCGTGCCATTGCTGGTGCTGGTGTGCTCTCCGGTTATGACAAGCTTCAGTTAATCCTCTTGGGAAAGAAGTACGGTTCCGGTGGAGCTTAAGTTGATGGTGATGAATAATATTGAACTTCATTTTCTTTCCTAAGTTTTGTTGGATCTTGATAGGACAATTTCTATTGATCCCCCAATAATTTTACTGCTGTGGTGGGAGATTCTCCCTTAATTTTTTTGCTATATGGAGATATGATACGTTCTCCGTAAACTTGTTATTTTTCCTACTGTAGTGTTTTAACTTGAAGTGTTATGTACTCTAATGCTGCGAAGTTCTATCCAGAACAAAGTAGTAAAGCTTTGGGAGTTATAGATCCTATATGTTTGTTGTCCTCCTAGAAGCTATTATGCTGCTTATTATGAGCGATATTTGTATCTCCCGCTAGTATCGAATGTTTCGATACCCTGGGCCGCATTTTTCTATGTTGATTTTATTGTCACTTCGCGTAGTTGTATCAAAGCCCTATCTAGTCCACTGGTTGAACTCTTATCTATTGAGGCAAGTGTATTGGGAAACATATTGTCAGCAGGTTGGCCCTTTCTGTTATCAGATTCTAAAATTGTGCGGAAGTATCAGCCTCGGTATAAATATGTTGGTCTCAATCAGTAAGTTTTCACCGTATCGTCGTTGCTTGAGCTCATCTGTTAGTTATTTCATGTTAAACCTAAGGTTTATTCAACGCTAGATCTCCTCTATGGTGTTAAGTTGCAGTTAGCACAATGGCTGAAGTTGGTCCTTAGTAACCTATGATTAGCCGAGGAAGACTCTGACCGTTTGTGTCACGCTATTACGCATATGATCTCGATCACAGAGGTCGTGAAATAACCGAAATATGTTTGAGAGAGGCGTTCGCATCGAGGCGTGAAGGAAAAGCTGAGGCTCATGATTTTTGTTGTGAGGATACCAATTCAAAACTTCATGATATTGAACGTCGTCACCGTGATGCTGCAATCGGGTCTACGCTTACCGTTTGCAGTTTGCCATAATCGTTCGACGTAAACGTGATTCATGATACCACGGCCTCTAAAACCCAAGAAAATGCGACTTTTGGCTCAAATCTCTCTCTCATAAACTCCCTTGTAATCAACTTGAAACATTAATGGCCATAACACATCTGAAACTCGCATCCGATAGGATCAAACTTACATGAAAACAATGCCAATATGTAAAAATAACTGGCTACTATCAGATAAGCAGCAGAAAAGATACAGAGAGCATCACTTTGGCCAAAGATTTTAACAGTGAAGAAGCTGAATATAGTTGTGATCCTGCCGAAGGCTGAGGTTCGGGACTGGAGCGTGCTGGAGGGCTGGGGACTTTTGGCTTCAATGGAGCAGGAGGAAGCGGCGGCTCTGCAACGTCAGCATCATCAAGAACGGGCATCGGAGCTACGGCGGGTGGTCGTGCTGTAGGATCTACTGCTCCTAGCAGAGTTCCTACACTAACTGGTTTCATATAGTTTGGCATTTTGTTGCCGAGTTTCAAACAAGTATTTCCTGCACAAATCAACGGAGTTTGTATCAGTACGATCAAATCAGTACAATCAGGCTACTCTACTGTATCAGTGGAATCACCAACTTTAAAATCAGCGACACTAACCCAGAAGGCTGGAATGACACCAACCTATTTTACCTTTCTTTATACATACTCCTTAAATATCATGCATATTTGCAAAACTAACTCCAAAATCTCCAAGTTTGCAGAATTACCTCTCAATTCAACTCTGGAAATATATCCCCAAATCAACAAACAAATCATCAACTTTGTTGTATATGATGAGCAGTTGTTTGACCATTTTGTTGTTATTTTTACATTGTAATTAACAAATCAGCCTATCAAAGTTGACATTTTGTTGATTTTGGGGTATATCTTTTCTAAAGTTGATGATTTGGAGGGTAGTTTTCAAACATACTGAGATTTGGGGGTAGTTCTGAGACTAAGCATAATTTTAGGTGTATATATACAAAAAACCCATGTATATATATTATAAGCTGTAATATGTTAATTGAGTATCTCATTTTATTTTATTTTATTTCATTTGCAGTCATTCACACTAACTAATTTATTAGCCATTTTACCTACATTACGGGAGAAAAATAAGCAAAGAATTCAGGGGGTACATACTTTTATATCGAGTCACAGTTCCAGGGAATTCAGTGATAATGCCATCGACACCAGCATCCTGAACAAATGCATTGATCTCTGCAATTGGATCTGAGAAGAAATCCCATGGCTGAGACACATATTCATTTCTAAGAAAATACACAAACACAGAAAAGCCAGAATCTTGCAAATTCTTCACTAAATCAGTTCTGCCTGTGATAAATGCCTTGGTTACTGGATATATAGAAACTTTGTCGACTGCAACAGAAGTTGCGAACTTCTTCATATCAGCTAATGATGAGGCATCAGCATTACTAATGGATTCATCGACATTGTAGATGCATTTGTAACTGGTCTGTTGCTTGAATTTTCTTAGCACAGAGCTATTTGTGGACTGAATCATGACTTGCTGAGATCTTTGATTGTTGAAACCTGCATCTTTTAATGCTTTTATGACGGCCTCCGTAACGCTGTATTCTAATTTCTCTGCAAGAAATGCTGCATGCTGCAACCAAAAAAGGAAGAAGAAAAAAAAAGAAATGAAAAGAAAAGAAGAAGACAAAGAAGAAGAAGAATCGGATGATGATTAAAAAAAGAAAAGACAATGCAATTCCATGGTTCTTACCTCAATACTGATAACAATTCCAGATAGAGGTTTTCCTTTAGCGAAGGCCAAAAAGTCGGATAGTTTTGTGAAATTTCCAGCATTTGTATATCTTGGATTCCGCAACAAGCCATAATTTAGTTCTGGGTTTGAAATTGCAGCTGAAAGGGAAAACATTGTGAGTCTACTGTCTCAAACTAGATATACGTTTCTATTGCTCCAAACATATGCATAAAAAGAGTTAAAAACTCTATGAATTCAATATCCATGAGACCTACATTTACCAAGAGTTTTTGACTTACGTTTCAGGTTCTTTTGGATCTCATCCCAGGTTAAATTGAAGGTGAAAATCCCAGGAGTTTGCTGGATATCTCCGACAAGAGAAGAACGAGAACGAAGGGTTGATGTTGTAACTGTAGTAGAATCCATGAGATTAATAGAGCTCATGCATAGTAGAACGCCGTCTTCTGTTACTTGAACTGGACAGTCAATAAAATCTGCACCATCTTCCACAGCCCGCTGATAAGCCAGATCGGTACAGTCGGGATATATTCCACTAGCTCCATTGTGTGTGATTACCACAGGTTTTCCTAAAACACAGGAAAAAAATTATGTACGAAGATATATTCGCAACATTTTTCATATAGTGAGAATAAACCGAAGATAGACTAACCGTGGTCTGAACCGTTCCTTTTTACATGGGAGAAACAGCCTGCAAGATTAGCGACATTAAAATTAGAAGGGAAAAAAAAAAGCTTCTCTTTGAACAATCCTAACATATTATGATATACTTCGTTTGAGAAGCCTGAATCAATAATCGAACCGTATTACCTCCCAGCTTGCCATCATGTTAACTTATATAATAGGGATAATTGCGGGTAAACCCTCTGAGTTATTCTATTGGCTCTTTTACCTCAGGAGTTCTATTTGTTCAAAAACAATTTGCTCTTTTTTCTCTGAGGATAAAGAGTAGACAAAGTTTATCCTTCCTTAGAGGGTCTACCTGCAGTTAAACATGGTCTATCCGCAATTAACCCTATTAAATAAAACCAAACAAGAATAGTAGAAAAAAGAATGGGCAATATTCTAGCATTTGTAATATTTTAGCTGGGTTTGAGAGAGCTATAAGATCTGTAAATCTATTTGATTATGTAAGCTAAAAAAAAAAAAAAAAAAAAAAAAAATCACCAATGGCTTCTGATGCAGTAGCAGGAAAATCTGTCAGCACTCCATCAACAGAGAAAATCCCGTTGTCAACGAAATTGAGATATTCGAGTACTGGATCATAACTGTAATTGTAGCTAATATTGCCATCATTTGCAAATTCGGAGGCAAAAACTTCCAACCCCTCCTTGTGAGCATCCAAGACAATAGAAGTGTGAGGCTGCAGATAAAGATCAGATGTCGGCCATATATAATTCTTAGGAATGAGGATCCCAGAGGCAAATGTCTTAATAAATGTAAGATTTTGCAAGAGAGAACCATAAGTTTGGTTTGTAGAAGGCTCAATAATATCTTCTTCTAGAAAACGGAAAACAAGTTTTGTCTTGCTTCCGTTGAATCTTGAACCGATACCGGTGAGAAAACCCACTTCTGGCGATGATACATAGTTTGCTGCAACTTTCTTTGAGATGGACACCAAGTAGTCTCTCATGCTTAAATTATGTTGTGTGTAGAATAGATCATGCTGCATAAAAAGATAACCATAAATGAGCAGTCAGGAAATTAATATCGAAAAGAGATCACCAAAGAAAAGAAAAAAAACCTGTATATCCAACCAAAGTGGTGCTGAATTAATTTCCTTTTGAACTTCTTCAACAGGAAGGATCGGATATGCGTTAAAGTCAAATTTATCACTTCGAGATAAGATTGATCGAATCACTGCTCAGGTGATAACATGTAATCAGTATCAGTATTGTGTTCAACAAGACTAATTCTTCATTAATTCATCAGTATTTCTAGCACACCATCTTAAGCTTGGAATTATGGCTCACCTGAAACTTGTTCTAAGCTTTGGAAGTCATAATCGACAGAAAACCAACCAGATGTTGGCACTCCATCAACAGAATAAGTACTTGTTTCATTAGGGAAAACGACTTGGATGCTCGTGCAAGTATCTAATAACATGCTAGGAATACAAATACCGGTACCATCCTTTGTTAGTTGAACACCACACCAAGTAATTGTATCGGGTGAACCAGATAAATATGTAGCTTGGAAAGCATCTGAACTGGACTCTGGAAATATCCCTGAAAAGCCACCCTTTGCAACAACAACAGGTGCATCACCTGCATTAGCACAGAAAATCAATACTAGCCAATGCCTCAGCGTGAACGATGCACCGACCTTACTTATTGATCAGGAAATCTGAAATATGCAAAGAAAAAAGGGGGAAAAAAGAGGAGGAGGAGGAGGAAGAAGAAGAAGAAAAAGAAGAAAATTTCATTTTAAACCCATTCCAACTTTTATTTTTAAAAACCGACCCACTCCCATTGTAATTACAAAAACCGACCCATTTCGTGGTCACGTCAGCATTGTCGCCACGAAATGGGTCAATTTTTTTTAATCTCGCCTCTAAATAGTTGGGGTTGACAACCCCGACTATTTAGTTATTGTTTAATAACACACTAATTTAGCTTATACAATAGCTAAATAGTATAAGCTTTTTTTTCTTCCCCTGCAGCCTTTCCCTGGGATTTACCATTTTGAACACGATTCATCTTTTTAAAGGTCCGTCTATGATCTTGTGACATTTCAAGCACCTTCCTTAAATATGTACATGCAAGAATAAACTATCTACCCAATTACATTTCAAGCACCTTCCTTAAATATATAGAATATGTTGGATTCGGATCCTCTCCACTACAAAAAAAATAGTGAAGGGACCACTACATAATCACAGCCATTGATTATCTAGTTGATGGTTATGATTTTTTCTTTTAGTGCAAATTAGGAATGAGTGCAATACACGGAGGTATGGTAAGTGTTAGATTTAGATTGTATCATAACCGCCTACTAAATAATCAACGCTTGAGATTAAAAGTAGTGTTCTCTCCACTACTTTTTTTGTAGTGGAGAGGATCCAAATCCGAATATGTTAGGCCTTCAATTTGACATGGTATTGCATGCAACACTCTAAACTAAAAACATCCATGTGAACTACTACAGCCATACAGGAACCAACTTAAAATGGACAACTGAGAAAGAGAGCAAATTAATGATATAACTAAAAGCATCAATCCTCACAAACCGCCACTCTACTCATACCCCATTTAGAAAGCCTATGAACACACGCAACCTACATATTTGCTTGAAAACCCAAAAATGATAACCCCTTAATTAACTTATTTTTCCATAAACCCAGGGAAGAAGAAGAAGAAGAAGAAGATATAGTTAAGCATTACTCACTGCCGAACATAATTAAGCATAGATGTTAAGAAAAGAAAATTTGATACGGCCAAGCTCATTTGAGGCTAAAACCCCCAGCTCGATAAAACAGTGATATGATCAAAATCAGACCCAGACCCATTAAAGAACCAAGCATCAAAAGCCCGAAACTGAAATAAAAAAGTAAACTTGAGAGAGAATTAATTCACCACTCAGTGTAAGCCAAGGTGACTTGGGGGCCAGGGCGGTGACCAGACCGCGGTGATGAAGCACCCGCAGAACCAAGAACGCAGCGACGAAGGTGAGAGTTTTGCAACGGAACCTCATCTCCCACATTGTGATCACTAACAAAGAGAACCCAACTCAAGTTTAGAGGGAGACGAAGGGTAGGGTTTTTTTTTTTTTTTTTTTTTTTTGAAGTACAGCTCTCCTTCGAAAAGATGTGGGCTTTCATTTATTGCCTCTTTTTGCTTCCGGATACTGAAGAGGAAAGGGAGGTGAATGTGACCGCGAAATAGGGGAACTTTTATTGGTTACTCCTACAAATAGCACCCGTTTTTAAACTCTCCCATTAGCTTCATATATGGGGCCCATGGAGATGGATGATTTTAAGGGGCTGTTTGGTTGGCATTTTTTGCTCTTGTAAAGCTGTCAAAACTGACAAAAGCTGTCAGTTTTGACAGCTTTACTTGCAAAAAATAGGCGTTTTTACAAGTAAAGCTGCCAAAACTGACAGCTTTTGTCAGTTTTGACAGCTTTACAAGGGCAAAAAATGCTAACCAAACAGCTCCTAAGCGACATTAAAGGGGTGTTTGTTTCAAATATTATAATTTTAGGATATGGATTTCATCATGAGATTTGAAATCCGTAGGTAATTTGCTATGGGTTGGGATTCTTAAAACTTTGTTTGTTTCAACAATATTTTGAGATTTGGAATATTATAATTTGTAATATTTTTGTTTGTTTCAAACTTTTGAGAATTTAAAATCCTTAATTTGTCTAACATTTTTGAAATACACCCCACATCCCACCCAAAAAAGTGGATTTCACAAATCCTTAAATATAATACTTTTTTATTATTTGGGGATTTGATATTCTAAAATTTGTTTTGAAACAAACAAGTTTTATGGAATTCTAAAACCCAAAAAAATCCAATTTTTTGATCCTAGAATTTGAAATCCTACTAAAATGCCAATTTTTTTTTTAAACAAACATCCCCATGCACGGGAAGTTCATACGTACAACCTCATGCACGGGAAGTTCACATCATCATATGATAAAGAATAATATTTCGCATGTGAACATTGATATGTGGATAGTAAAAAGTACAAATTTCGCTTCTCTATTTTCCCACTAAAGAGCTCAAGATACTATGTAGGATAAAGATACGGGGCTCTACTCGAAATTTTTATATACATCTCGTTATTGTTTTAAGTGCCGTCATGTTGCATATTGGTGGAATATCCACTGAAAATTCCAAATTAACCTTCTACCCTTCTTTGAAGGGCTCAAAACACAGAGAAAGTATCTAATGAGAACGTTCCAGGACATATAATGCTCAACAAATAGATGTCAATCATTAGATACATGCATGAATCCCAAAGTTTAATGATCTAATGATTGACATCTCTGACATCAATGTCATGGACCGAAGACCATTTAATTCTTTTTCCGAGAGTGTTCTAATAATACTCGACATGCGAAATGAAGACGTTTGATTTAACTCAAAATTTTAATATGCCAAACACTATCAATTATCAGTATAGTTAGACTGCATATCATTGAAGTTGCTGCCAATAATTATTTCTAAAGAATAAATAAGGAGGAAAAATTACATCACCAATACATAATTATGTCATTCAATTAAACGGGTGAGGATTTTCTGTATTCTTGATTGTAGAGAGCCTCTAAATTAAATTGGTTATAAGTTATAATAGCATTTGATGGTTCTTTGGGTTGCGCAATACTACAAGAACTTTATATATAATTAAAATATATGACTTGGTGAGTTATAGAGGTTATCTACAATTATTATATCCAGATTTTGAGTGAAGCACCCCTTCGTGAGTGAGTGAGTGATTTCCGCCATTGAATTTTTTTTTAGGTCACATTCAGAGGTCACCTTTTCAGTGCGGTTTTGCCGTTGGTAAATGGTAATACGATAGAGGAACAGAGGGACGGACCATGCACATGTTGAACGACACGTGTCTCGGATCTTAGTTGGGCTGGGATCAACGTGGGCCCAGAAATTAGTTTGAGAATTTTGGTAATCAATATTTTCCAAGTTATATCTCTAAGGAAAAAATGTTGCTTCGTAGATAATCCAGCTAGCTATAAGCCTATAATCCACTCCTAGGCTTATAAAACGAGGAAAAGCTACACCGATAAAGTGTTTAATTTTGTGAAAAATATATCAGAAAAGTATGGTTGAGATAAATATTAGTCTAGTCTTTTCCATGTGTATACCTGCTTAAAAAAACTAATTCTAAATATAAGAACAAAGTTTTGACTTTGTTAGGAGAGAACAACTTTATTGCAAGGAACCTTTTGAAAAAAAAAAAACACCCTATTGTGCCTATTACCTACTAAATCTCCAAAAACAACAATGACATTGATGATAGCTAAGTTTAGAAACTATGCTAAATGAATCAATTTTATCAATTGAAAATTAAAGCCACGGTATAAATTGAGGCCAAGGTTCACCAATCAATTTTTTCTACCATAAATTTTACATTACCTAAACGTAGCCAAGAATTTAAAGGGCCACTAACGTTCCAATTTAAGCACCATGCATTGACCATTAAAAAAAACCACTTGATGAACATAGAGAAATAAAAATTAGAGAAAATATTTACATCAATGGCCTCTTGTTCAAATATTTTGGTAGTTTTCTTGGTGCTTTTGTGGGTTTTCATTGCAAAAGCGGATACTACAATTAGTTTGAAGAAATATGGTGGGATCCCAGGTGGCAAAATTGATAGCACCAAGGTGAGATGTGTAGTACGACTGAGCATTTTATATACTTTTTACTCGAAAATACATTTATCTCTCTTTAAATTTTGATTTACAGTTGTGAAAATTGTTGTTTTCATTTTAATACCTCCAAGTTTTTTTTTCCCTCCATTTTGATTTTGGTAACTTAAAGTTTCTCCTGCTTTACGTTTTTATTTTTCTTTTTAAAAAAGAATACTCTTGAATCTCTTGTATCTTTTCCCATCTATTTTCTTCACCTAATTCAGCCATAAAGAAAATTAAATCATATAAAAATATATGTTTACGTGAATGTGAGGAATATTTCTCTCTCAAAATTTAGAGGATTTTGGGTTATAAAATGACTAAGAATTTGATACCGTAAATAGGAATACCATTTCACGGCCTCATCATTAAGTTCACAGCATAAAAGTATCTCTTGAAAGGTCTCACGGACCTTTTTTGCATATTTAAAGTTCTCAACTGTAAATAAAAAAAAAACTTTTAGGATACCAAAGTGAAAATATTTACATTTCCCCCTTCAATTTTTGCAGGCTTTGCAAAAAGCATGGGCCGATGCTTGTGCAGCTGAAGGCAAATCCCAAATAATAATCCCTCATGGTGACTACTTAGTCGGCCCGGTACTGTTCAAAGGCCCATGTAAGGGCCCGGTGACTATCCAGCTAGATGGGAATCTTTTGGCTGACGCTAACCTTGGTCATTACAAGAGCAATTGGCTCGATTTCCAATATATTGATGGGTTGACCTTCAAAGGTAGAGGGAAGCTTGATGGTCAAGGAGCGAGCGCATGGCCTCATAATAATTGTCCCAAGAATTGGAGTTGCAAGCTACTTCCAATGGTAAAATTTTGAACATTTTGCTTGATTTTTTTTTATATATATATGATGCGAGGTTGTGAATGAAGTGCTAATGTATTCATGATATTGCATGTACAGATGTACTAATGTATTCAT